AGCAGCAGCAGCAGCAGCAGCAGGAGCAGCAGCAGGAGCAGGAGCAGGAGCAGGAGCAGGAGCAGGAGCAGGAGCAGGAGCAGCAGCAGGAGCAGCAGCAGCAGCAGGAGCAGGAGCAGGAGCAGGAGCAGGAGCAGGAGCAGGAGCAGGAGCAGGAGCAGGAGCAGGAGCAGCCCGCAGTCGATGAGGCGTGCGCTCGCTTCGAGGTGTGCGACGGCCCGCAAGCCGGCCGTGCCAGCGCCGGCTGGTCCAGCGCAGGCGGCAGCAGCGGCGCGGCGAGCGGCCTGGAGAGGGTCGAGGAGTGCTCGGACGAGGGGCACGGCAATGACGAGGCGCACCATGCCGAGGCGCTGCAACCGTGGGCAGAGGGGGCGGCACGGCCAGACGCCATTGGGCACCAGGAGCAGGGGGCTGCTGCGGCGGTGGAGATGGCAGCGACGGCCGGTGTCGCAGCCGCCGAGGTCGAGGGGCAGCCGGAGGTCCCCATTATCTATACTGCGGGCGGCCTGCTGGATACGTCGGCCGCAGCGGCCGCGGCAGGGGAGGGCGAGGCGACTCCGCGGGTCGGCGCCGGGTCGCCGCAGCACTTCCCGTTTTCGGCGACCCCGACCGAGGCGCCCAGCTCGCCCTGCGGCAGCACCCACAGCACCTTCAGCTGCAGCAGCAGCCAGCAGCAGCAGCAGCAGCAGCAGCAGCAGCAGCAGCAGCAGCAGTGGGAGGGGCTAGAGATACTGTCCCACCTGCACCTGCAGCGCAGCCCGCCCGCGGGCGCGGCGCGGCGGCGGCAGCAGCAGCTGCAGCAGCAGCGACGGCGCAGCTCTAGCAGCAGCCACGGGGGCGGCGGCGGGGGCGGCAGCTTCAGCGGAAGCGGCGGGGCGGCCCGCGGGGTGTTGGGGCCTCTGCTGGGGGTGCGGCGGCAGCACGGGCGGCGCAGCTCAGCGGAGTATGTAGGGGGGGACGAGGATGAGGAGGAGGGATGGTAGACACGCCGTTTGCAGGGGGCAACTTTCTCTGGTTGTGTGCGTTGAGGCAGCTTTGGAAATTTTGAACTGAGCTTGTGGGACAGCAGGCGAGGGGTGCGTGTGAGTGTTGCTCACAGAATTCAAGGGGACGTGCATAAAGCAGACGTGAGTGAGGCGACTCTCGCAGGATGTGATTAATCGGACATTGCCGCACAGGCGCCGTCACGGAATCTGGTGATTTGTAATCACTGCCTGCGGTGGTGGCACGCAACGCTCGGGGCACCAAGCAACCGCCCGGGGGCAACAGCTCAGCCAACGGGCAGGTGCAACAGTCGCTTCATGTCAGCGGCGTCGTGCAGGGCATGTGAGACAACGCATTTGGAGCCTCAGTAATCATATGGAGGAGTTTGAGGGGCCCTCTGGGCAGCTGGTGCGGACCTCAACCCCCTGCACCATCACGCCCGACACAGTCAAGCAACAGTCAACTCATCAGGCGGGTGACACGCGGAACAGTGACTTGTCTGGCAGTCGAGGCTCTTTGCACAGCCGGTGCAAAAGCAAGCCTGTCCCAGCGACCGCAGAGCTCGGATAAACGTGCTCTGTGTCCACCAGCACGCAGATCGTTACCTGTCGGCACGGCACGCGCGAGTCCAAGATCCGCAAAATAGCTGCCCGAGTGGCTCTGACACAGCGTAAAGTGCCGGGAGCTCATCACATTGCGTCGTGCACGAACATACCCTGTGCAGGACTCTTAGACCATGCAGCAGCGTAGTTTTCGCGGCTCACCTGTGTTGTCGCAAAGTGGACGAGATGGCGGCAGCAGCGGGGACGCGGGCGTCTGCGGCGGCGACAGTGCAGGCGTCAGGGCACACACTGATGCGGGAGGCAACAGCGCAGCTCTCGGCAGCGTGTCTGGCAGAAAAAGCAGCCTAGGAGGCCTCTCAAACACATCCAGCTCTGGAGTGGGAAAGGCGGCGCCCTCCGTTGGCGGCGCCGCTTCGGGTGAGTGCGGCGGGCTGGTGACGCGGCTGCGTCAGCTGCGGCGTGCCACGCGCAGGCGCGCCTTGGCAGCGCTGCTCCCTCGCGGCGCCTGCATTGTTCACCCGCGCAAGCCCCAGCCTGCATGCACCCGCATCGCGCCACCTGCCTCAGCCAGTATTCCCGCAGCGCTGCATTTCCGTCTTACAGGCATCCCCGCGCCCGCTGGCCCCCTTCGCCACTGGTGCCCCAAAAAGCAGGGGTGACCGCCGGCCTGCGCGGCCTGGGCAAAGCCGCCCTAGGCGTCGGCGGCGCCGGCATGTCGGGTGCGAGCGCCCTCGCGCGCGCCGCGCCGCGGCGGCAGGGGCTCCCTCCGACGGCGAACTCGGCTGCACGCAGCTCGCCAGCTGCCCCCCTGGCCTGCATTTCACACACGGCATCGCACCCTCCGCTGCCGACGCCTGTCCCTAGCAAGTTTCCCCCTCGCCCCTCCGCCCACAAGCCGCACCCCTCCCCCCGGCCGAAGCGCGCGGTGGGGCCAACCTGCTCCGTCCGGCATGGTTCCCCCCCTTTCACACGGACCCAGCCGACCTGGCCCCCCTCCCTGGGCTGCCCGCGCAGGCGTCACCGCGGGGCTGAAGGGGGTGATGTCATCGGGCAAGGGGTTCAGGGAGTTCCTGCTGAAAGGCAAGATCGTGGAGCTGGCGGTGGCCGTCGTGGTCGGGTGAGTCATCGAGTGACTTGTGGAGTGGAGTGTGCGGTGTGTGTATGCATACGTGGGCGTGTTTTCTTATTTGTGGTTTTTATTTGTCGATATGATAATGTGTGTGTGTAAGTGTGTGTGTGTGTGTAAGTGCGTGTTGTTAAGTTTGTGTATGTGGGGCATGGAGGTGGGGCGGTGGGGGTGGCGCAGATGGAGAGAGTGCACACGCCACACGCACGCGAATCACAACCCCGACAGACGCGCCGCGCAGCAGCCCGAGCGGCGCCGTTGGGCCGGCGCCCCGCCGGGTGGCCGTCGCATCGCCGCGCAGCGGCCCCTTTGACTGACCCGAGTCCGACGCCCCCCGCGGGCCGCGGGCGCGTTTGCAGCAGCGCGCCTCCTCCCAGAAACACGCCTGCAATACAAACTCCGAAAAACGACATCTTGTTTCGGTCTGCAACCCTTACATCGGCCTGCAGCGCGGACCGCCACGTTGACCGCCTCATCCTCCCCCCCCCCGCTGCACCCTGTCGCAGCCTGGCGTTCAGCAATCTGGTCACCGCCATGGTGAAGGCCCTCATCACGCCGCTCATCGCAGCCATCTTCAGGGGCGTCAGCTTCAGCGTGAGTTGACCGCCGCAGCGCGCAGGTTTGACCGCGCGGGGCCGGGGGCCGCGGGGCGACACGCAGGCGCGAGCACCTCTCCAAGCGTACGCGGATCCCCCGCGGATTTCTTTTCTGTCGCGAAAGCACCCATCGTCAGGGGGCCTTGCACCCCTCCCAGCGCAGCTCCCCTCAACCCCCGCCCCACATTGCCAAGCTGCCTTGCCCACGCTGCGCGTCGCCCCAGTCACCGAGCCACACACGCGGTCCATCCCCTCCCCCCACTCCCAGCCCCTCTCACACCAGTACCCGCATTCCTCTCACACCTTCCATCCCCCTGCCCCATCCCCCATGCACACACAAAGTTTACTCACACGCACACACACAGACACACACACACACTGTTTGCCCCCGCACCCAACCACCTCCCACCCCCCCCAGGAGCTCTATTTCACGGTCAACGAGTCCAGATTCATGTGGGGGGAGTTTGTCAACGCCTTCATTGTGTTCATCCTCGTGCTCAGTGAGAACCGGCCAGGCTCCCGCCGCGGCCGGCTGGCCGGGGGCGCACCACATAGCTTGCTGGGGGAAGGCCCCAGACCGGCGGCACGGCGGGCGACCCTCTGTCTCGGCTGCGCCCCCTTCCGCGCGCGGGGCGGCGCCGGCTGGGGCGGACGCGGCGCCGACTGAGAGCCTGCGGCGCCCTTCGATGCTGTGCCCTGGTAGGGCCCTGGACCCGCCCTTGCACTCGCCCCCCCCC